TCCACTGTTGTGTACTTAACACAGACTTTACATTTTCAGTATTGTAAACTGCAGATACTCAAAACCATGGACAAGATGTGATGGTGTGCTCCCCCCGCCCCACCTGAGCTGTATTTCCCATAACACTGCTCAAGTGACAGCCACCAGTGGTGGTTGTAATGGACGCGTCTGGTTGTGATGTCTGCATCCAGCTCAAAGTAGATTCGGGGGAGACTGATAACAACACAATAGTCAAGGGCTAATTTGAACAATGTTCCTACCCAACCACAGTGCTGGTCAATGTCCGACTCAAGCCGAATTTGGAAAAAGCTAACACCTGTAGTTGGTATGTAAATATGACTATAAGTCAATTATCTTACTCCATAATTAGTGGACAGCCCAAGGCCCATTGAGCTCTCCTGCCCAGCAGTGGGCTGCATACCAGGATCTCCCCTTGTCTAGGGATGCCTCTGAAGGTTACTCCTCAAGGTTGAGAGATTCCTTGACACAACAGATTCTCGGTAAGTGATTAATAGCATGCTAAACTTTGAAATCTTAGCTAAAGATTGAGTGCACATATATAATCCTTTAGACATAAACTGTTGACCAAGTCTGGGACTAGGAGTGCATCCAGCCGCACCTAGACTCCCCTCTGAGAAGGAGTTTAGAAAGCAAGGGGGTCCATTCTAAACCCTGTGACTCAACAGGAGGGTCCCTGACAGTTTTGTCTGACCCTGTCCTCTGTGCAGTAAATATCAAGTGAACCTTGCCATCAAATCTTGTTAAACCACTGCTGCATTTACTATAAAACTTTGTTAAATTGCTGGTTTATATCAATAAACATATTGCTACTTCTCTCTTATGAGTAAAGTGCGTCACTCCACCCGGAACACAAGATGACAAAAAATTAAATAATTTAGCCATCACAACCACCTCAAAATACAATTGCTTACATTTTTCACCTGCCTCCTGATTCTTATTCTCCATCCCAGGAAGGCTGAATTCAAGTGTGTTCATGTCAAGCTTGCAATTCAACTTAGCTGCAAACACACATGCAGCCAGATTCTCCTACTTGCTGTTCAAAAGGGATAGGTCTAAGCACCTTCCCACTCCTTTCCAGCTTCTGAAGGTTGCTTTTATCTTGTTCAGACATGCCTTTTCCATTTGCATTTTCTTCCTCTTCCCATCAATCTCATGTCCACAACATTCCCCTGCACTCACAGTTCCTCTATCTCATATTTCTTTGCACTACTTACAACCTGACTCCTACCCACACAGTCCTCTCTCTGTTGATCTCTGTCTGGCTCCCCACACTCTTCTGACCTCCCTTATGGTTTTGTCCTATGTGTTAACATAGCCATGACCGTCCACTCGCTCCTGACCTTCTTCATTCACATTTTACTCTCCTTACAGAAACAGCTAAAAGGAGAAGGTCATAATTTCCATTGAGGGCAACCTTGTTTCCCCTCATAGGAAAACTTTGTCAGTTTCAGTGGGAGAAGTTTCTCTTTTATTTGTAAAGAGAATAGATGCATTTACTGCTTTGCTGAAAGTAGCAGCAATTCCATTCCTAATAATGAGGAACTAGGAGACATTTTACAAAACAGAGGGAAAAAGTGAAGGAAGATATAAAAAAATCTGCAGATGTTTAGGAAAAATGAGTATTGCTATATTTCCTCAAAAATAACAAGATATGGCCCTGAAGAATTGAATTAAAGCAGCTATAGAGTATTAAAATCCTGGAATTCTCCACTGGTAACTGTGGCTTACGTCATTTCACTGGTGTAGAAATTACTATATAACTCCACAATATAGTGAAAATTAGCTTGTATTCTTCATTGCCTATTTCCTGTCCCTCTTATAAAAACTCAGTCAAGCACACCATGGGAGGACAAAGATTCTAATGTCAGACAATAAAAAGTTACTGTTTTCTTTAAATGCCAGTAAAAGGCAAAGGAAAATGGATTGTCCTGAATCTTTATGAAACAATCCTTCCACTGATCCATGTCTGTTCAAGACATAATTTATGGTAGTCTCTTTAAAACATGTCTTCTGTGGTCATTACTGAAAGGTTTGAAAGAACATAGTCAATCTCAAATCACACTTTCTTCTGATTGTATTTATCATCTCATAATTGGGGGATATTGTTTTTTGGTATGTTGACTGCAGATCTGAGGGAGCGTAGTCTGGTCAGTATTTCTCATGCACTCACTTACCCATTTTGTGTATACCGTCAAAGGGGGAGTGGGGGGGAGGGAAGGGGTTACATGGCCTATTGAAAAAGATAGTACCAGAAATTACTTTCAAATTCCTACTAGCACTTGGAGTAGATAGGAAGGATGATCATACCCTTCAATCAACAGTCTGAAAAAAACTTACTGGGATGAAAATTAGCATCCTACAAGCTGCTGGGCTAAGTAATGCTCCTGCACAGAAAGTTCAAGGAGGTTAGATTTATGAACACACACGAAGGTTAAGGGATAGGATGCTCTTCCCACAGGAATACCAATGAACAAACCACAAAGTCTCCATGATTACTGTCTTGTACTTACTCCTTCCCTCCAGAAAGGAGAAACCACCAAACACAGATGAGGAAAAAGGCTGATGGTAATCAAGCTCAGATCTATGTATGGCTTTCTAGAGTCACCACCCTGCACCTCCCTCAAAAATCAACAGAGAACATAAAGCAGAGGTGAAGCACATTCTTTTTGAGAAGACTTTCCAAGCAATTGTAAGGTTTATCTAGTTTCATGTGAGACTTAGAACACCCAGATCCATAGGGGAGCCTTTTTTTAAATTCAGAACAAAGATCAGCCAGGGGAATTTAAATGTTCAACAGCATCTCAGTCTTCAAACCTTCAGATATGTCCTCTCTTTATTACTGCAATTTTTGGTTTTCCAGGCTCTACCCTCCCAACAGTCTCCATTCAAGCCTTTCCCAAATACTTGTGACACTGCTTCTGTTCTTCTCCTCTCAGATTCCGATACACATTTCAGGGAAACAGTGTCTTCTCCAGAAAGATGAGAATATTAGAAATGTTTTTTTTTTCTGCTTTGACAAACCAAATCTTTTCAAATCACAGTTATCTGATGTGCAGCTTGTTTCCTCTCTTTTCAGCAGCAAACAGGTCTTTCTTCTCCAGGGTCTGAAATCCACTTCTGGGAATTCAAAATGCTATATAGTATTTGTTAAAACAAATCTGAATCACACCACTTTGGATCTCAGGGCACTTCCTTTCCCAGGTTCTCTTTCCCTGTGTGCCCGCCCTTCCTCTCCTCTCCCTCTTCTCCTTGCCTCCCATCTCCTCACCTCTCCTCTCCTTGCCCCACCTCTACTCTCCAGGCTACACCAAGCAGCAGTTACTATCTCCCATTTGCCCCAACAGCTGTCAGGCTTTGGATGCATTGCCCCCATTTTTGCACCCTTTGTCTCATCCTAGCTGCAGTTTGGATGAGCAAAACTGCTTGGTATGCACTGTAATAAGTTCTTGTGGTGTCTGGATATTGCAAATAGCTTATTTTTGGTCTGCATTCTTGCTAAGGGTAGCGGATGAACAGGATGAGCTAAGCAGTTGTTCTCACTGCAACAACAGGCTGACAGTTATGTAAAATACTTTCATGTGCAATCTCCTCTGATCCTCTGCTGGTTCAGAGGAGTATTATGGTCAGATCCAGCACGCAGGCTCTTGCAAACTCATTTTCATAAACTGGGGCACTGCTAAGCATAAAGAAGACCAAGACCAAGGTTGCTCTGTTTCTTCATCCTCAGCATTTACCTTTTCTTTCTTCTTAATCTCCTGTCTTCAGCATCTACAGTTTAAGCCCATGGGATAAGCACAAGACCTCTTTACCAAAGTGCTTCTACAAATACTGGTACAAATCACCTTGCAGAGGCTACTGCAGAGTGACAAGGCCTGCTGGCCAGAGCAGTAGGAGTTGCTTTAGCATATTATTCTAAAATGGGATTAGTTAAGTAACTCTATAGCCCAATTCAAACACTGAGCCCAATTCACTTTTCTAAGCTTCCCAGTTCTGTATACCAGCTAAATGCCACTGATTAGGCTTTCAATTGAACATTTTCTGAAAGGCTTTTGACTCAGTTCTGGGATGATTCATGAGATTCAACAGAAAATTAATACAATGACCAACTAACTGTAACTGTCACAGGCAGCAGTGGTACACACAAATATTCAATCAGCTTCTGGAAACCAGCCTTGCTGCTACTTGCAGAAGCAGACACCTATTCTTTTGCACAAAGACAATTTACAGTCACAAGGAACAATGTTTTCATACCGGTCAATTATTATATCTAAAAAAAGAGATGGCTTTCATCCAAATATAAATATTCAGACGCCTTCATCTAAATGAAAGCCTACTTTTCATTAGGATTACCAGATTAATTTAATTTGGATTAAAACCCATGTCTGGTTTTTATTAACATACATCTGTTAGAGAGCTATCTAGTCAGGTAGGAAATCCAGTTTCTTGTAGTATATACTGGAAGCATAAACATTGCTGTGTGCTAAAATTCAGTGAAAAAGCACTAATAATAGCTTGAAATATTCATGTATGCCAAAATACCCCATATAAATAATGGTCTTTTATCCACTGCCTAATTTTGTAATTCTTACAGTGATTTTTACCTTTTAGAAGTAGTTTACATTTATGACTCAAAAATTGTATCTGTTTTCAAAGAAGATTAATCCTGTTTATTTTATCTTTAAATAGCTATAAAATTACTATGCAATTTTTTTAAAAATTTAAATACTGTCTGTTAAATAACAGTGCTTTTAATTCAAAATAACTTCAAAATTCAGGAAGGTCATTCTGCATCTTTAATAACTGTTGTGAGGATATTCAGACAACATTCAGAAATATTTTGTGTACTCTTCACTGCAGTTGGAATTGTCTAGGCAAAAGGCACTCAGCAGACTTACTGTGATGTCTCTGTGTCTGATACCTGAACATGTTTTGTTCTAGTGCATTCATTCCAATGTTATCATTCATTTTTTCCTACTCACCTCCAAAGTAAGAGCCATCTGTCAGCTTCAGCTCCTTGTTGGATTTGGTGATGACACCAGCAACACCGTGCTGAATGAAATACATCTTTTTACCTACAGCCCCTTCTCGGATAATATAATCTCCAGGTTGGAACACCTCAAATCGCAGTTTGCTTAGCATGGCAGTCACAAAATTTGGGTCTGCATTAGCAAAAAGAGGCATTGTAGCAACCAGCTTCCGACAGTTGAAGTTGACAATCTCCTAAACAGGAAGGAATCATAATGATAATAATGGTCAGCAAATATATACAATATGATGGGCATTGAAAAAGATTTCGGCTTTCTTCACAAAGAAGTTCTTTATGCTCATATTGGACTTTTCTGTGTTTCTTTCTGTGCCTAATTTTTTAATCTTTTCATTGTATTTTTATCTGTTTCTAGTGAAGTGATTGAAACAGCAGTGCAGTATGATTTGTATTTTTGAGGTGAAAGGTTGTCTTCTTCAGGGGATTTTTCACGTTATTTATTATTCCCCTTGGATTTTAAGGGGAAAAATCTGACAGAAAGATGAAAATTAAATAGGAATTACACTGCCTGACAACAAGATTAGCTGTTGCAATAACTGTATTAAGTGCTAAAGTTATGCAAGCCCTCTGTTTTCAAATATTACACCAGTAACATCTTTCTGATCAGAAACAACTCCAGTGGTAATATAAATGTACATTACAGTTAGCTGCAGGGCTAGCTGAAATCAACAGGAAAATTTCCTTCGCATAATTTAATTCATTTTATAAACAGAAAGGCATATATTCCTGCCCTTCAAAGAAATGCACATATAGTAGACCCTTATATGCAGCAAGCACTGCTACCTTCCTAAGACTGCTACAGGCCTTAAGGGTATCTCCCACCAAGAATATTTATATTTACAAAGCCAGCTATGACCACATCTACATGAAAGTATTATACCAAAAAGCTATAAATGTCCTACTTGCTTTAAAGAAAAAAAAATTAACAATTTCTGAAGGAGTTTCAAGCTCATTCTTGCAGACCTTACTTTGTCTTGGGAAAATTAACATGGTCAGTTGTCATACAGATTTAGCAGTGTATTGAAGAGCTGAGACTAATCAGTATTACACATGGAGAGGGGCTCAGGCAGGCAACATCTACTGAGTTAGCAACTCAAACATGACAGTAAGAGCATATATGATCATCTGTATATAAAAGCACACAGAGCAAATAAAAGAAAAATACAACCAGCAGTCACCTAACTGCTTTGTAAAACTAAATATAATTTCATTGCACTTCTGCTGGAATTTGCTTTTTCAACCTCCCATGCATCTGCTGTCTCATACTTGCACATCTCATATATCCCATGCAGCCGGCAATCTGAGCAGCAAGCTTAGATACATTTGTCCACAGTTCAGACAAATTCCTTTCTTCTCCTCCCACACCCCACCATATGATATCCTGCTTGCAGACATGATGGGGGAGTTCAGCTAATTCCACAGTATGAGCAACAAAACCATAATGGGATCTTTGACTCAGTCCCGTTGCATCTGGGAAGGAGGTGGGAATCTCCCTTTGAAGGGTGTTGGCTACTGAGGCAATTAAGAAGCATTGGCATGATCTAAGAGTGAAGAAACCATCACCTTTCCCTGAGAAATTACATCCTTTCAAAATAAATCCAGTGGAACTTGGAAAAATAATGTGAAACAAAATGTCTCACCAGGCACCTGGGAAGCAGAAAGCTGTTATCTCCAGCATTGTCTTATTTTCCATTAGAGAAAGAAAATACAGGGCAAAATTACTTCCTAGTGCTACTCCTAGAATAAACTTATGATATCTTCTGACAATCCTGCAAGAAAATGTCATTATATAATGGCAAGGTGGAAATAGAAGTGTCTCTAAGCAGAAGTGAACACTGATTCTTAACAAAGGGCAGTATAGTGATTCTCTTTAACCCTAGCCTCAATAGCATCACATCTATATACTTACATAAACACTATATAAGCCTTTTCCCCCTCCTCTTTTTTTCCTCTGGAATGAGCCAAAGAGATACAAAAATATATTTAATTTTATATAATTATAATTTAATGCAGATTTAATTCCAGAATTACTGGGTTAAAGATAGAGTGAATGAAGAGTAAGATGGGTACATCTTTGAAGTCAGTCACTAAACTCCAACTGAATTCAGTGGGGATATGATTCCACCAAGAACATTTTATCTGTTATTTATAAGTGTTATTTATAAGAATTATTTAAGTGATGGAAATAGAATAACAGTCCTCTTCCATCACTTTTCACTGTACTGCCTCACTCTCCCTCACTGTCTCTGATTGCCGTAACTTTCATTTCTTATGAGTGTTTTGGTATGCCTGAAACACTGCATCATGTATGGACTCCATGGCTAAGCATAAATGGGCTGGATTAAGACATGAGGAGACAGATCCAACACCAAGAGCAGACTTCTTCATGGTTACATGAAACTTGAAATGTACAGGAATACATGGCAGGAATAGAAACAGAAAAATGTGAGGAAAAGAGCACCGAGATTTGTAACGACTGGGAGACTTCTGCCTACAGAAAGGAAGTGCAGTCTGGCTATGACTCCCACCCAGCACAGGCAAAGACATGGATGCTACTGGTGCAACACTATGGGACAATACTATCTACACACATGACACCAGAATCAGAGCTTAAAAAAATCCCACAAACTAGTCTTGCTTGTAAAATCACATGGAAAATTTGAGGCGAGATGTGTGCTCTTTGCCTGAATCCAAAAATTATCTCAAGCAACAGCACTGCAAGGTGTGAACTACTGGATACATGTCAGTGGCATTCAAGATCAGTGAATCCTGCTGAGTCATTAAGTCAAGAGGAGTAATCACAGGCTACTCCTTCAAGTACATTCTGTATAAGGGAATAAATACTGTAAAGAGATTCCAGCTGTCTGTCTTTCTAAAGGATGAGGGAAAGCCTGTTTTCCTTCTCTAAATACTCCATTTCTCAGTAAAACTTCAGCCACCACCTTCCTCCCAAGGGAAAGTTCTTCTCTGCTCCCACACTCACAGTATGGTGGCATCACACGAGGAGTTCCAGACTACATCCTCAGCTCCTTATGAGACTGCAGCCTCAGCTGATGCTGGAAAGCTGGCAATAACTATTAATTGTCTTGCCTTGCTCAGGGACTTTTCAGTAGACTTGCTGCTTGTTTTTGGTTTTTGAAAGTGAATAGCTTGTCTTGAATGACCAGGAGGCAGAGAAAGGAAATTACTAAAGAAAGCAAAAATTGACTGGAAATTATATAGAAGCTGGTGGGGAAGCACAGAAAAGGCTGGGAGAGTGGAAAGTTCAACTCCAGTCATGATCAGGAAGAAAGAGTAAAATAGAACTAGGTGTAGTAGTATTAAGAAAGAGAGAATGGGAGGAAAACAAAAAGAAGGAACAGAAAAACCTAGAAGAAAGGGAAAAAAGAAGGCAGGAAGGTTGACTTCAAAGAGAGCTTGAGAAACTGAAATTCCTGAAAAAGTGAGAGCACAGGAGCACAAAACCTGGAGGAAAGGTATCTGGAGTGAAAGCTGAGAAGTAGGGAAGATGAAGTAAACAAAAGGGAAATTGCAAAAAAAAGACAAGTGATCAGTGGTGTATCTTAATAGCACCATAAGAGAGCATGAAACAGACAGAGGGGAGCATTCAGACCTGCATGACTCCCCTGTGCAGAGCCAGTCCAGCCCAACCAGAAAGGAATTCATCTCATCTTGGGAATCCCAACAACACACACCCTTGGCACCTCGTGTCCTCTTGTGGCTCTATCTTCTGCCCACCTTTCTCTCTCGATATGTAATCTGTATCTGAATATACCCATGTATACACACACGTTACCTGCTCAGTCTGAGCTGCCTAACGAAGCCACCAACATAGCTAAAAAAACACCCTGCTGTGGTAATTTCAGCCATTATATCCTAGTAATGCATTCATTTTGTTGATTAGTTTTCTATGAAAGTTTATGCTAAGTACAAACTTTCCTTATTTAAGACATTAGAAGGTGGAAAATTACTGAGGGAGAAAGAAATGTGTCATTTTAAAGTGCTTTGTTTTTCTTTAAAGTGTTCTTTTATTTAAATATGAGATCATTCAGAGCAAGTAAAATACATTTCCCTGAGCCTTAATCACAGGCAGTGCTGCAATTTCAGGTTCTTGTGTATTACTTTAAAGATCATCTTGAGGAGAAAGAAACAGTAAAGATTATAAACGTGTTTTATGTAACTCAGAAAGTACTAGGAGAAATAGTTCTGTGTTTTAAAAGAAAGGTAACAAAAGAACAAACTGCCACATTAAAAGCTGACAGTTTGTGCAGAGAAAAATCTTTCACCTGTAATTTCTTTGAGTTAATTCTTTGGAGCCAGACTGGAACCAGATTATGCTGCCCAATGTGATATCTTAAGAAAACAGTGAAATTATAATATATATATAATTATATATAATAGTGATTTTGTCTCACCTCTACATGAAGAAAATAGCAAGTGATGTCTGAGGAAAGGATTAGGAGTGTATTATATAGCTGAAATGGCTAAAGGGCAGGAGTGATTCAGACCTACATGGAATAAGTGTTGATCTGGTTCAAGTATTGGTCTCTGTTACACAAGAACTAAGTTGGAGGTGCAGTAGTCTGCTTTATACAATAGATTGGTTAGGTAATTACACTGGCTCCTGCTACTTTATAGTGTACTGGTTTTATTACTCATCTTGGCCTTTCTGGGTATTTTTTCAAACTAATGTTGAAGCATCAGATACTATCATTTTGCATGGGTTCAATATTTCTGGATGACTGCTCCGATGCATCTCAAGATGTCACATTTACAGAGGCAGTTGCAAGGCTTTCCTAGCTGTGACTGTGGCATGGCAGTGGCCAACTTCTCTGATGCCATCTGTTAAGAGTTTTTAGGACCTTTTCTCCAGGAGAAGATTTTTAGATAGAAGTAGTGCTTTTAGTTAGACTGACTGGAAAAAGCTATTGCTAGAAAAAAGCAAAGTTCTTGAAAGACCTGTATGCCTGAAAGGTTCTTTGCTTTTTCCCACTAATCCAATTGAGCTAATAAAAGGTACTACTTCCATCTACAAACTATGTCCTTCTTATGTGTAGGCCACCAAAGTCTGTTTATGACTACTTAAAAAAATAGCTTAGTTTCATTAGGTCACTTCTATATGCTATTGTAAAAATCTAGTGCATAACTTTAACAGTGCAATTTTTTTTTTTCTGGC